AAAAGCTACATATTAAAACATATTTCTATAAAATACACGTTAAAATACACAAAACAGGATTAAACAAAGGACACACATTTAAAATTCATGCTTAAAGGTTGGCTGGGTAGGTTTGGCGGAAGTTATTGCAAATATTATTATATATGTAATATGATTACGATTATATATATATATGGACTGACTTGAGAAACTGCAAGTTGCTTCTGGTGTGAGACAATTGGCTGCAAGAATGTTGCCCACAGGATGCCCGGATGTTTTGATTTTTTTACCATCCTATGGGAGCCTTCTCTCATGTCCCCATATGGGGAGCTAGAGCTGAGACGGGAGCTCATCCCGTTCCTTGGATTCAAACCACCAACATGTTGGTCAATAGTCCTACCTGCACAAGGGGTTTAACCCACTGCACCAACGGGGGCTCCTACCATGATTATATGGATAGTATTATATATATTATGTTTTTATATTTATGTGTTATATTACATGTTATATATTGTATATTATATGTATTTTATATTAGATATAATATATGCATAATATACATATATGTAATTAGGACTAAGATTATCATTATTATATGTATAGTATTAAGTATATAATGTTTATGTAATACTATATAAACAAAATGCTTTGAATGAAGTTTTCCTGCTTCTTGGCAAGGGGTTGGACTAGATGGCTCACGAGGTCTCTTCCAACTCTATGATTCTATGTATGTGTTATATTACACATATTATATGTAATTAGGATTACGATTAGCATGATTATGTGGATAGTATTATAAATATATCTGGTATATTACATATATATATATCATATTTAGATATTTGTTGTTCATTCGTTCAGTCGTCTCCGACTCTTCGTGACCTCATGGACCAGCCTACGCCAGAGCTCCCTGTCGGCCGTTACCACCCCCAGCTCGCTCAAGGTCAGTCCAGTCACTTCAAGGATGCCATCCATCCATCTTGCCCTTGGTCGGCCCCTCTTCCTTTTGCCTTCCACTTTCCCCAGCATAATTGTCTTCTCTAGGCTTTCCTGTCTCCTCATGATGTGGCCAAAGTACTTCAACTTTGTCTCTAGTATCTTTCCCTCCAGTGAGCAGTCGGGCTTTATTTCCTGGCGGATGGACTGGTTGGATCTTCTCGCAGTCCAAGGCACTCTCAGCACTTTCCTCCAACACCACAGCTCAAAAGCATCGATCTTCCTTCGCTCAGCCTTCCCTAAGGTCCAGTCTCACATCCGTAGGTTACTACAGGGAATACCATGGCTTTGACTAGGCGGATCTTTGTTGCCAGTCTGATGTCTCTACTCTTCACTATTTTATCGAGATTGGACATTGCTCTCCTCCCAAGAAGTAAGCGTCTTCTGATTTCCTGGCTACAGTCTGCATCTGCAGTAATCTTTGCACCTAGAAATACAAAGTCTGTCACGGCCTCCACGGTTTCTCCCTCTATTTTCCAGTTGTCAATAATTCTTGTTGCCATAATCTTGGTTTTTTTGATGTTTAGCTGCAACCCGGCTTTTGCGCTTTCTTCTTTCACCTTGATTAGAAGGCTCCTCAGCTCCTCCTCGCTTTCGGCCATCAGAGTGGTGTCATCTGCATATCTGAGGTTGTTAATGTTTCTTCCAGCAATTTTCACCCCAGCTTTGCATTCATCCAGCCCCGCACATCGCATGATGTGTTATTTAGATATATATTATGTTTATGTATTCTGTTTATGTGTTATCTATATATATAAAAATACTCTCTGTGCATAATGAGTACCTTAAAAAAAACAAAAGAACCAATGAACGAAATCACACCAAATTTGGCAACAAAACGTCTCACAACACAAGGAGTGACCATCACTCAAAAAATTATGATTTTGTCATTGGGAGTTGTAGTTGCTGGAATTTATAGTTGACCTACAATCGAAGAGCATTCTGAACTCCATCAACGATGGAATTGAACCAAACTTGGCACACAGAACTCCCATGTCCAACAGAAAATACTGGAAGGATTTGGTGGGCATTGGCCTTGAGTTTGGGAGCTGTAGTTCGCCTCCATCCAGAGAGCACTGTGGACTTAAACAATGATGGATCTGGACCAAACTTGGCACAAGCACTCAATACGCCCAAATATGAACACAGATGGTGTTTGGGGGAAATAGACCTTGACATTTGGGAGTTGTTGTCACTGGGATTCACAGAGCCCCCGGTGGCGCAGTGGGTCAAACCCCTGTGCTGGCAGGACTGAAGACCGACAGGTCACAGGTTTTAATCTGGGGAGAGGCGGATGAACTCCCTCTATCAACTCCAGCTCCTCATGCGGGGACATGAGAGAAGCCTCCCACAAGGATGATAAAAACATCAAATCATCCGGGCGTCCCCTGGGCAACGTCCTTGCAGACAGCCAATTCTCTCACACCAGAAGCGACTTGCAGTTTCTCAAGTTGCTCCTGACACGACAAACAAAAAACAAAAAAACAAAAAAAAAAACAGTTCACCTACAATCAAAGAGCATTCTGAACCCCACGAACAACAGAATCGGGGCAAACTTCCCACACAGAACCCCCATGACCATCAGAAAATACTTAAGGCCACCCAGTCCAACTCTCTTCATCAGGGCAAGAAAACGTAATCAAAGCCCTCCTGACAAAGAGCCATCTAGCCATAGATATAGATAGATGTGATTTACACACACAAAGAGATATAGTATCATAGATTTGAAATGGACCCTTAAAGAAGGAATATGATATGTTGCATGTTCCACGGTGGGCAAACCAGACACTCTCCACATCAACACTGACAAAGAAACAACAAGAAATACTGTTTACCCACAAGCAGAAAGAAATGGCAAATATCAGAAACCAACACTTTCTCATTACTTTATTTTCCAGATCAACAGACTGAGCCACAGCAACGCCTGGCAGGGGACAGCTAGTATTATATATATTATTTTAGATATAGATGTTTTGTATTACATATAAGATTATCATGATTACATGTGTAGTATTACATATATGAGCCCTCAGTGGTGTGGCAGGTTAAACTGCTGAGCTGCTGAACTTGCTGACTGAAAAGTTGGCGGTTTGAATCCTGGGAGTGGGGTGAGCTCCCACGATTAGCCTCAGCTTCTGTCAACCTAGCAGTTCGAAAACATGCAAATGTGAGTAGATCAATAAGTACTGCTTCGGCGGGAAGGTAATGGTGCTCCATGCAGTCATGCCGGCCACATGACCTTAGAGGTGTCTACGGACAACGCCGGCTCTTTGGCTTAGAAATGGAGATGAGCACCAGCCCCCAGAGTAATTAGGATTAATCTTACCATGAGATGCATAGCGTTACATATATTATAAGACATAGAATGATAGAGAAATTCACATTATAGTAAGCAGTATGTATATACATATATAAATACACACATATATATGACACACAAAATTATGTATTATATGTATATATAAAACTGTGATTACATATATTATATTAGATATATGTATTTTATATGACATAGAATATATGTTATACATATTATATTTATATATTATATACATAATTATATTTATATATATTAGGTATATGTGTTATATATAATATTAATGTATTATATGTAAATACAATTCTATTTACAGATAATATTATATTAGATATATGTATTTATATTGCATACATGTGTAATACATACATTATATGTTGCCTTTGAAGACAGCTCGGAAGCTCCAACTAGTCCAACGCTCGGCAGCCATGATTTTAACAGGAGCGGAGCGCAGGGAGCATACAACCCCCCTGTTGCGCCAACTCCACTGGCTACCGATCTGCTACCGGGCTGAATTCAAAGTGCTGGCGTTGGCCTTTAAAGCCCTAAACGGTTCTGGCCCAAGCTACCTATCTGACCGCATCTCTGCCTATGAACCCACCAGGACTTTGAGATCTTCCGGGGAGACCCTGCTCTCGATCCCGCCTGCTTCTCAAGCTCGGCTGGCGGGGACGAGAGATAGGGCCTTCTCGGTGGTGGCTCCTCGGCTGTGGAACGCCCTTCCTACGGACATTAGACTAGCACCATCTCTAATGGTATTCCGCAAAAAGGCGAAGACCTGGATGTTTGTGCAGGCGTTTGAGTAATTTAGTGCAATCTGGTAATGGAACATAGGAATGGAACAATGGACGACGAACCTGGACTACGCTTGGATGATGAGAAGATTGGGTACGGTTGTTTTTTGTAATAATTGTGCATTGTAATTGCTTATTGGTAATTTATGGATAATGTGTTAAGTCAATTGTTATATGTTGCATGGAACCACTGCTGTTTCTACTGTTTTTACTGTTTGTGAACCGCTGTGAGTCGCCTTCGGGCTTGAGATACAGCGGTATATAAGCAAAGTAAATAAATAAATAAATAAATATGTAATTAGGATTAAGCTTACCATGATGAGATGTATAACATTATATATTATAATTATATAGAGAATTATAGAAAAATCACATTATAGTAAACAGTATATATATATATATACACACACACATATATAAACACACACATATATGATACACAAAATTATATATTATATGCTTATATAAAATTGTGATTACATATATATATTATATTAGATATATGTATTTTATATGACATAAGAATATACGTTATATATATTTATATATTCTATACATAATTCACAAAATTATATATATGTATATATAAAACTGTGATTATATATATATTATATTAGATATAAGTAATTTATATGATATAGAATATATGTTATATATATAATATTTATATATTATATACATAATTCACAAAATTATATATATGTATACATAAAACTGTGATTATATATATATTATATTAGATATATGTATTTTATATGACATAGAATAATTATATATATTATATTTATATATTATATCCATAATTATATTTACATATATTAGATATATGTGTTATATATAATATTAGTGTATTATATGTAAATATAATTCTATTTACACACCATATTATATGAGATATATGCATTTATACTTACATTCTGCGCGGGTTCTCCCAGGGCTTCAGCGGAGGAGGAGGGCTGCCCGCCATCTTGCTTCTTCTCCGCGCAGCCGCAGAGCAACGCCGCCTGCCTGCCGAGCAGAGCGTCGACAGATCGATCCATCGCCCCGCCCACCCCTTATAAACCACCGCTGGCTCCTCTTGCACGTCTGTCGATCGGACGCCTCTGTCTGCGGCTGCTCAGGTCTGCCTTGGGCCAAAGAGATATACAAAACTGCAAATACATAATCACACATGTCTTCCGGTTCCCAATTGCACTCTACACTGCAGAATGAATGAATGAATGAACGTGGTTCATATGAACTGCCCCGGCTCCATACAACTCCTGGGAGCTGTAGTTTTGCAAGGGTGTTCTCTGCCCATAGGGATAGTGCCTCATGAAACTATTACTTCATAGAATCATAGAATCAAAGAGTTGGAAGAGACCTCCTGGGCCATCCAGTCCAACCCCATTCTGCCAAGAAGCAGAAATATTGCATTCAAATCACCCCTGACAGATGGCCATCCAGCCTCTGCTTAAAAACCTCCAAAGAAGGAGCCTCCACCACACTCCGGGGCAGAGAGTTCCACTGCTGAACGGCTCTCACAGTCAGGAAGTTCTTCCTCATGTTCAGATAGAATCGCCTCTCTTGTAGTTTGAAGCCATTATTCCGTGTCCTAATCTCCACTAAACAAGCTTGCTCCCTCCTCCCCGTGGCTTCCTCTCACATATTTATACATGGCTATCATATCCCCTCTCAGCCTTCTCTTCTTCAGGCTAAACATGCCCAGTGTCAGGATCCGCTGGATCTTAGAATAAAACTCGCACTCACAAGCAGGATACTCGGATTTGGAGTTTATTTCAGTCCATACAGAACAAAGTCAAAGAGAGAACTGAGGTTTCCTGCCAAGAGTCTCCAGATCCTCCCTCCTAGCTTCGCCTCCCCCTCCCCCTTGCTTATCAAAGTTTAGAGTAAGATTCCTATTCCCACAGCTGATGACCCCCCAGGTAGCAGAATCTCCCGCCTTCAAGTTGGTTTGAACCGCAGCAGGGAGTTCTGCAGTTCCGTAGGGCAAAGTTGGGTCCGACTGATGAAATGTGCCCCAGCCAGCAGCTCAAAGCAAAGGACTGCACGAAGCCTTTCTTTCACTTTCCCCTCTCCCTCTCTTTGTAACCAATCCCTTAATAAAACACTTAAGTTTTGAAACTTTAAATCCTTTCCGCTTGATACTTTGTGTCCTTTTACTGACTGCAACTTTTCTAACTCACAATAAACCTTTTTCTGAGCTCCGGGGAACCGTGAGCTCACTGGGGACGCCTTCCCGGCCTCCCCAGGCCTCCGAATTTGCGTTAGCTCAAATCGCGGATACGGAGATTTTCCCATTGGCCCCCCTTATCTGCCAAAACGACAACATGGCGGATCAGGCCCGTTCGAATTTTATATTTTTCTACATTAACTTCTAAGACTAACTGCTATCTTGGTTTTCTCGTTTTGGACTCCTGCACTCGTGAAATAATTGTTTTTGTTTAATCATTAAATTCGGCCGAGTCACCAGCTGATTGTCAAATTTCGCCGGCTTTTGCCGCTTGCTTCATTTCGCTCGCCGCTGCTCGCTCCAGCATGGTTCCCGCCGCCTGCGATCCACCACGATTGCCCAAGAGGGAGCCTTGGAAGTGGGGATCGGGCAGGGAGGCCCGATCCCCGGTTTGGGAGCGCTAGTTCCACCAAGGACGGGACCGTGGAACGTAGCTCCCCCTTCAGCTCCAGCTCCTGTTTCCTGGAAGGGCCGATCTGCTGGCCAGCCTGAATCATGGGCTGGCCCATGCCTCCAAAACCTTTCCATCTGGACTTTTGGGATTTCTAGTCTTTCTTTCCTCTTTTATGAAATAAAATAAAAATAAAATCTTTTCTTAACTATGATGAACTGGGATGGGTGGTGGGTTGTGAGATTATGAAATGCCTGTATATTAGTGATGCCTGTGGTTTATGAATATGAAATATGTATCCCTATGAACTCCCCTGTATCTTTACCTCCTTGACCCCTTACCCCGAAAACCGGCGTGACCAGGAACTGCCTGGGGAAGGAGCCCAAGCCTCTTTTCCCTAAATCACCCTTTGATTGACCCATCTTGCATGGACAATGCTGCTGGCCCCCGATTTCGTCATCGGAGCAAGGCCAACGAAGGAGGGTTTGGTCAGCAGAGCCCCGGAAAGAAAGGACTGATTAAATCACCCAGATACTGTTGATCCTCCGGGCGGTCCGGTATCGATCCAGCTATTCATATCACTCGCCAGACTCGTTAAGAACAGGAAAGCCTTTGTTTGACAAACATCACCCTCTTCCCGCCTTGGACAATGGCCCGCATTCCAGCGGGCAGGAAATCCCAAATCCCATCATCTTTCCCCCCATTGCCCGCGGCTGTCCCGCCTCCTCGCTCCTGATTGGCCAGAACCCAGGAAGCGAGCGGAGGGCGCTCATTGGCCCTCCCGAGGCGAAGAAACGCTCCCATTGGCTCCTGACGGGGGAGGGCGGGATTATCTCCTCCCAGGTGTTCCAGCCTCAGCCAATCAGCGTGAAGCCGGCTGACGGGGGGGCGGGCGGGATTTTCAAAGTGCTTTCTTTGTTCTACACTGTATAAAAATGCCTGGAAATTCTTGTGCTGCATGCTTTGCAGTGGAATGATTCCTGTAACGCAGCCATTCAGCTGAATCGCAAATAAACGCCTCGATCGCTGGACTCCTTTCGTCTCTGGTGAGCTTATTTGATTTTAACCATTTTTGGCGCTCTTGGATTGGCTTCTGGAAGAAATCTCACCAAGGTATCCAGGACCCTCTTTGGTGCGGTCCTTGGGCTCTCCTCCCTGGAGGGGCCCCCTAAAAGAGCTCGATATCATAGCTTCAAAGTGAATACTATGCCCAGATGGCCCTGCCATAAACCCATCTATCATCATTGCCCCCTCTAGTGTCAGGAAGAAGACTTCTTGGAATGTCGAACATGAAGGCACATCCTGACATATCTCCCCCCCCCCGGAAGATGGCCCCCATCTGAAAGAAAAAGAGAGAAACATGAGACACAACATCAAGGCTTGGGCTTCAGCGGGAAGGCAGAGTGGAACTTTTTTATGAGGCGCGGAGTGTTTACATGTTCACGTAACACCCACTCCGGGTGGATAGCCTTAGAGGACCACTGAACCAAATAATATAACTTTCCCCGTGTCCGCTTGGAGTCTAAAACATCCTTGATCTCAAAATGAGTATGGGCCCCCACCATGATGGGGACTGGTTGGGAACCTGTCTCCGACCACTTAGGAGAGGGGCATGCGGGTTTCAGCAAGCTCACATGGAAGACTGGGTGGACCCTCCTCCAAGTGTGGGGCAGTTCCAGCCGCACTGTAACCGGGTTAATGACCTCCTGGACGGGGAAGGGCCCCATATACAAAGCTGACAATTTACGGGATGGCTGGGTGGAATTCAAATATTTGGTGGACAGGTACACTAGGTCTCCCACCCTGAGCTGGGGTTGCGGCGACCTCTTTCTGTCAGCGAATTTTTTATAGTCAGTCTTGGCTTTGTCCAAAGTCTCTTTAATCACAGGCCAGGACGCTGCAATCATCTCTCCCCATCCCTCTGGTGAAGTCTCCCCCGGTCCCAGGGGTGCTAGGCCTGGAAATGGGGGAAAGTCCCTACCCCCCACAATTTTAAAAGGTGAAGACCCCGCGGACGCATGTTCGCTATTGTTGTAACTATACTCAGCGAAGTCCAGCAGGGAAGCCCAATTATCTTGTTGATAAGTGGAATAGCATCTTAGGAACTGCTGTAAGGTTTTTTGAACCCTTTCGGTGGCCCCATCGGTTTCCGGGTGGAAAGCTGTGCTTAGGGCCCGCTCCGTCCCTAGCATGGACAAAAAGGACTTCCAAAACTTGGATGTGAATTGTGTGCCTCTGTCGGTTATAATCCTGCGTGGACAGCCATGTAACCTGAACACATGGTGAAGGAACAGCTTCACCAACTCCGGGGCCGAGGGAAGTCTTTTCAGGGCCACGAAGTGTGCCTGCTTGGAAAACAGGTCAATTACAGTCCAGATAGTATTGTACCCATGGCTGTCAGGCAATTCTACTACAAAGTCCATGGCAATTTCTGACCAGGGTTGTGTGGGGTTGGCCACTGTTTGTAACAGTCCCATGGGTTTCCCCACCTTTTGTTTGTTTCTTGCACAGGTTGGGCATTCCCGGGTATAGTCTTTTATGTCCTTGCGCATAGCGGGCCACCAGAACTGACGGTCCAGTAGTTTAAGGGTTTTGGTGAACCCAAAGTGGCCCGCTAGCGGTGAGTCGTGGCCCCCCTTAATAATGTCCTTTCGCATGGAAGCTGGCACGTAGTATTTGGCCCCATAAGTCCAGAGCCCCCCCTCACTGGCTAGGTCCCCCTTGTGCTGTTGTAACCACTCATCCTTTTCTGCTGCTTCCCTCAACCGCTGTGACCATTCGCCTAGCTGTTTGGGGGGTGGTGGCTTGTCTTTGAGTTTGGCCCGGGTCTGTACTACCAATCCCATTTGCTGTTGGTTAAAGATCGTTCCTGCCTCCGTGGGGGATGAATAGTCTGCTTCCGGCATGCGCGAAAGGGCATCTGCCACCTGGTTGGTCTTTCCCGGAACGAACTTGAGGCGGAAATTGAACCGCTGGAAAAATTGGACCCATCTGAGATGCTTGGCGTTAAGTCTCTGTGGGGTTTGCAGAGCCTGTAGGTTTTTGTGGTCTGTCCATACCTCAAAAGGGATTTGGGTACCCTCAAGAAAGTGCCGCCAGTGGGCCAGTGCCACCCGCACCGCAAAGGATTCTTTCTCCCAGACATGCCAGCGTTTTTCAGTCTCCGAGAATTTTTTTGATAAGTAAGTGCATGGCTTGAGCTGGCCCTCATCGTCAGCCTGTAAGAGCACCGCTCCATAAGCGGCCTCCGAGGCATCGCATTGTACTACAAAAGGCTTGTTTGACTGGACATGTGTTAGGATGGGTTGGCTAGTGAATTTTGCTTTTAGGCTCTCAAACACCTTCTGGCACTCAGGTGTCCATTCTAGTCTGGCCCCCGGGGTTCTCGCCT